CCCTCCCTGACCCCAGGCTGGGCTGTATCAGTGCCCCAGGACCCCTGAGCACGTGCTGGGGTGGTGGGAGGTCTCCTGAGAGCCTCTGTGGTCGAGGAGCCTGGGTTATGATAACTCTGAGCAGGGACTTTCTCCGCCCGTGCCGGACACAGCCTGACCCTGCGGTTCCCTCACTCCCAGCCTGGCTGAATTCCCTGGCCTGCATCAGCCAGGGCTGACCCTGTGGGGAGGGGGCTGCTGCCAGGGGACCCTGACATCCCACCCTGATGGGAGCTGGGTACGATTTTCCAGTGTCCCCATGGGTGTTCCAGTGTCCCCATGGATGTTTCAGTGTCCCCATGGGTGTTCCAGTGTCCCCATATATGTTCCAGCGTCCCCATGGATGTTCCAGCTTCCCCATGGATGTTCCAGTGTCCCCATGGCTGTTCCAGCTTCCCCATGGACATTCCAGTGTCCCCATTGATGTTTCAGCGTCCCTATGGATGTTCCAGTGTCCCCATGGGTATTCCAGTGTCCCCATGGGTGTTTCAGTGGTTTCAGTGTCCCCATGGGTGTTCCAGCGTCCCCGTGTGGAGCAGGCAGCACGGGAGGGATGGAAGGAGGAGGGGAAGCAGGAGATTTGCTGTGGGATGAAGGCTCCTCACAACATCCTGAGCCCTCCCCTGGCAGCGGGCTGGGAGGGAAGTGCCTTCCAAGCCACATTCCTCTACTCCTGAAGGAACTGGCTCGGGACCTTCCCACGGGGATTTCCAGCCTGGGCACACATGGCTGCAGCTTGGATCTGGCTGGTGCTGTCCTGGCTCAGCTGCAGCACTCAGGAGACTGCAGGAGATCATCCTGGCCCTCCGGTGAATCACCGGGAAGGAACTGATTAAGACCTTGCAACATTTTCCTGCTGGAAATAACTTTCTCCACAGAGGCAGCCTGAGGCTGGTCCTAGGAGGCAGCTGGGGGGATTGGATGTGTCACAGGTTTTATTATCCCTGCTTTGGGGCTTGCTGGCTGGAAAAAGCCTCCTGAAATGAGGGATTGGTTGGGATGTGCTCTCACTCCCATGGGGGTGGGAAGAGAGGGAATTGCTGAAGGAAGAGAATTGAGGGATGCTCCAGCCTTGGCCACGGTGGAGTTGTGGCTGCAGGGGGTGGTGCTGGTGGCTGCTCCAGTCTCCTTTAGGGACAGGGACAGCCACCCTAAATTTTGCCTCCCCCAGTTCTTCTGGCTACGGCGTGGGCACAGAACAGCTGCCACCTTTGGCTGCTCCAGGCCCTTTGGATATGCCACAGGTTTTATCCCTGTTTTGGGGCTTGCTGGTTGGAAAAAGTTCTCACTCCCATGGGGGTGGGAAGAGAGGGAATTGCTGAAGGAAGAGAATTGAGGGATCCTCCAGCCTTGGCCACGATGGAGTTGTGGCTGGAGGGGAGTGGTGCTGGTGGTTTCTCCAATCCCCTTTAGGGACAGCCACCCTAAATTTTGCCTCCCCCAGATCTTCTGGCTACAGCGTGGGCACAGAACAGCTGCCACCTTTGGCTGCTCCAGCCCTTTGGATGTGCCACAGGTTTTATCCCTGCTGGATATGCCACAGGTTTTATCCCTGCTAAAAAAGCCAAAATGAGGGATTGGTTGGGATGTGCTCTCACTCCCACAGGGGGTGGGAAGAGAGGGAATTGCTGGAGCAAGAGAACTGAGGGATGCTCCAGCCTTGGCCACAGTGGAGATGTGGCTGTGTGAGGGTGGTGGTGATGGCTGCTCCAGTCCCTTTGGAACAGGGACCATCCTGCCCTGCCTTGCTCCAGCCCTGCATCCTCTGTGCTGGTGCCAGCAGATGTGGGCACCTCTGGAGGCCCAGGAAGCTCCACAGCCTCATCCCACCTTCCCCCTTGGCTGGCAGTGCCTGTGGGGGGAGAGGGGCAATTCCTGCACAGCACCAGCGTGGTGACAGCGCTGTTCATCCCAGTTTGCAACTGGGAGAGGGACAGCCACCCTAAATTTTACCTCCCCCAGTTTTTCTGGCTGCAGCGTGGGCGTGGAACAGCAGCCACCTCCGTCACCTCTGCCACCAGCCCCATTTCTGCCCCGTGACTCAGGGATTTCGGCAGGTTTAGGAAGGGAGGAGGGGCAAAAGCCACTTCCCTGCCAAAAAAAAAAGGAGGCGGATGCTGCTCTCGCCCTCTGTCATGCTTGAAGTGGATTAATATTAACCCGTCCGTCCATACTGCTGTCCCTCTGTCCTGCTCTCCTTCTGTCCCTGCCCCACAGCTTGTCCCATGACCCAGCATATGACACTTTTCCTGTCCCTTTAAAGCAGAAGGCAATGAGTGTGTGGGACATGAGCAGCCCGTGGCCCCAGCCGGTGTGAAGGGGCCTCATGTGCTGCCACGGGGTCCCCGTGAGTCACCCTGGTGCTGGCATCACTCACCCTTGTCCCTTGGTGTCCACCCTGGTGTCCTCCCAGCGTGGGAGCTCTGAGGCTCCCAGAATAGCTTGTGATGAAAAATGGAGGTGATGTCTCAGCGTTTTGGGGAGGAAGAGGTTATCTGGGGAGGATGGCTGATTTCTCATGCAGAGCCCTCCCTCCCCGACCTGTCACCTTCAGCACCTTCAGACCTTTATCTGCTGCTGTTGCTAAGGCACACTGAAGGTGACAAGACCTGTGACACTCACGTGCTGGTGCAGATCTGACACTATCTTGGGCTGTCACTGCTGTCCCCAGCTCCAACTGCTTCCCAGCTCTTCCCCATCTCCTCCAGCAGGTCACTGATCCCAACCCTCCACCCTTGGCACCAGCTCTCAGCTCCAAGAAAACCCCTCAGCACTTCTGCAGCCCCAGCAGAGTTTCCGGCCCAGGAGAGAAGATCCTGCAGTCCCTCCATGCTCGGATGTGGTGGCTGTCACCCACACGTGGCCCCGCCATTGTCACCGTCCCCTGCTGCAGCTGCATCCCTCTGTGTGTGTGTGTGTGGAGCAGTTTGCTTTCGGTTTCCCGTCAGTCAGAGTGCTTGGCACTGCCATGGATCACCTCGTGGCCACTAATCACTCCCTGTCGCCTGGAAATAAACAGGCAGCGAAGAGGAAAGTCCCAGAGCTGGGAATGGGGCTTGTTGTGTGGCTCTGCTGGTCCCAAATCCAGCCCCTCACAGATCCCTGTGCACGGATGGGCCCAGGGATCCACCTGCACCTGAGCAAAGGGATCTGCTTGTGCACGTGGGGATCCATCTGAGCTCAAATGGACCCAGCCATGCACACAGGGATCCACCCATGTACACGTGGATCCACCAATGTATACATCAATGTATACATGGATCTGTCCATGCAAACTGGATCTGTCCATGTAAACATGGATCTGTCATGCAAACATGGATCCACCCATGCACACATGGATCTCTCCATGCAAACATGGATCTGCCCATGCACCAGGGATCCATCCATGCAAACATGGATCTGTCTGTGCACACTTGGATCTGTCCATGCAAACATGGATCCATCCATGCCCCCGGATCTGTCTATGCTCATGTGAACCCATCCATGCACAGGATTTGTCCTCGTCTGTGCAGATCTATCATGCACACGTATGCAGCTGTCTGTCCATGCACATCCCTGCAGATGCCTCTGCTGGTGCACGTGTGGGTCCATCCGTGCAGATGGATCTGTGCTCACGTGGGCTGATCAATGCTCATGGATCTATCCGTGCACACCCTTGCTGATGCATCCATCCCTGCATGTTCTCATGGGTGTCCATCATATGTGTGTGTGTCTGTGTGCCTGTCTGTGCATCTGTATGTATGTGCATGTGTGTGTGTCTGTCTGTGTGTTTCTGTGTGTGTGTGTCTCTGTGTGTGTCTGTGTGTCTGTGTATGTCTGTCTGTGTGTCTCTGTGTGTGTGTGTGTGTCTGTCTGTGTGTTTCTCTGTGTGTGTGTGTGTGTCTGTGTTTGTCTGTGTGTGTCTGTGTGTCTGTGTATGTCTGTCTGTGTGTCTCTGTGTGTGTCCCCAGGGACAAGCAAGCACACACATGTGCCAGGCCCAGAGCTCTGTGTTCTGAGAGGTGTCCCTGCCCATCCAGGGGTGTTGTGTGTATGTTCACACGTTCACAAGTGCCCAGGGGTGACCATATACACACACAGGATTGTGTGAGCACACGTGCACTTTCTGTGTGCATACATGCACAGCTGTATGTGTGCACACACGTGTGCCAGGCTCAGGGCTGTGTGTGTGCCCATGGCTGTGAGTGCCCGGGGTGACCGTGGCCATGCAGGGCTGGTGTCTGTTCCGGGCACATCTGTGCAGATGTGTGTGTGTGACCAGGTGAGCACACCGTGTGTGTTTGTGGTAACGGGGGCTCACACACGCGGTGCCCCGGGCTGAGCCGAGCCGATCCAATTCCGGGAAATCCGAGCCCATCCCATCGTAACCGAGCGGTTCCAGCCTGACCCAAACGGCGCCGATCCGAGACCACCATTGCCGAGTCCAACCCTCTGAACGACCCGCGCGGTTCCGATCGGATCCAGCCCGACCCGCGGGGTTCCGATCGGACCCGAGCGGTGCAGATGGGACCCAGCAGCTCCGGCCGGTGCCGCTCGGTGCCCTCCCGGTGCTGGCCCGGCTCGGGCCCCGCGGGGCCTGGCGGCTGGCCAAGTGCTTTCTCATAAACCACATGCTGCCGCGGCGCTATAAAGGGGAGCGCGGCCGCGGCGGCGGCTCAGCCCGGCCCCGCTCGGCCCCGCCGCTGCCGCCGTCTCGCCCGCTCCGCCCGGCCCCGGTCCCACGGCAGCCCCCATGCCCCGCCTCGGAGCCAAGGTACGGCGGCCCCTCCCGCTCCCCGCGGCCGCGGAGACCCCCCCTCAACGCGGCCCCCGCTGCCACCTGTGCGGGAGCGGCGGCCCCCGGTGTCTCCGTGCCCCCATGGCGGGTCCACTCCTCCGGGGGTCCCGCTCCCGGCGGGGGATGCTCCAGCTCCGCCTCGGTTGGCGTGGCAGCCCCGGAGCCGCTGGGCGAAGAGGCGGCTGAAGCCCCGCTTCCCGGTTCCCTCTTCCCGGTTCCCGGTTCCCGCCTGCAGCCCGGTCACCATTCCCAGCGCCGGCGTGGAGAGGCCCCGGTTTCAGCCCCGGCCCAAGCCCCGTCCGCGGCGGGGGGATGCTGCAGCCCCGGCTCCATTACCGGACCTGCGCGATGAGGCTCCAACCCCCAGCCCGGCTCCGGCCCCGTCCCGGCTCCAGCCCCGTCCCCAGCCCCGTTCCCGGCTCCAGCCCCGTCCCCAGCCCCGTTCCCGGCGGGGTGAGGCTCCGTTCAGCCGTGGCCACATCTCGGCGGTGGCCCGGGCGGCATCTTGGAGTTTCACAAGAGGGGAGGAGGATTCCTGGATATCATCCAAGGGAAATTCCCCCCCACCCATCACCCAGGCACCCTCTCCCTGCCGGTGCCCCGGGAGCCGGGGGTGCGCCCCCACCCCAGGGTCCCCGCCGCCCCCTCCTCGGGAGTCCTGGAGCTGGGACAAGCCCCGCTTCTCACCGGGGTCCCGCCACCGATCGGGGCCTCCCCGCTTCTTTGCAGGGGGACTGGGAGGGAAATTTGGGACGAGGCCAGAGCTGCTGCATGGAAAGAGCCCGGCGGGTGCAGCTGGGGGGGTCTGGAGGGTGGGAAGAGGATTTTTGGGGATGGGTGGGTCAGTGTGTCAGATAGGCTCTGGAGAGCCAGGGCGGAGGAGGAGATTTGCAGGAGAGACGGAGAAATGGTGCGGAGAGGGGAGAGGGGCTGGATCGGGAATGTGGAGGTGGCCACGAGCCACATCCAGGCTTGTGTCACCGGGCCTTGGGAAATTCCCTGCTGACCTGGAGCTCCTAAAAATAGCAGGATGGGGATAGGCTCGGGGTTGGAGGACCACAGTGGGATTATCCTGCTGGACCGTGGCCAAGTCCCGGCTACCACAGAGGTGGTCACGCTGCGGGGTGGTAGAGAGGGGCAGGGGGCTTGGCGCCTGTGTGTGGGTTATCCCTGCTTCAAACTCTCCCCGTGTCGTGCTCAGGTGTGCCTGCTCCGCTGCTCCCTGCTGCTGTCCCTCCTCCTCCTCCTGCTCCGCATCCATGAGACGGAGCAGAACAGCTACTGCGAGCAGATCATCACCGAGAGGCACCTGGCCGAGCTGGAGGAGCTGGTGAGTGCCCTGCCGGGGCTGTGCCGTGAGATGGGGGCTCATTTGGGCCTAGACGGGCACGAAGCAGCTCTTTTTTAGTGCTGAAATAAGGAAATGGGGCGATTTTCAGCTGCCCTAGTGAAGGGATGGTACCCAGGAGCTGAGCATCCCTGGGCACAAGAGACAAATGGGCACCGGGGGTGACAGATATCGTGCCTTTATCAAGGATGGCCGTGGAAAAGTGACACCAGGAGGAATAAGAGGAGACACAAGCAGGAGCGAGGCCGGGAGGGGGACAGGAATGAGGCTGGATGGGTGCAGGGGCGCGGGGGAAGCAGCGGAGGGGCCGGCGCTGCGGGCTGCTGCGCTTTTTTGGGCGGCTGCGCAGGGGTTAAGCAGAGGAATCCGGCTGCATTCCTGAGTCCAGCTGCTTGCCTGGAAGCTGGGCTGGCAACGGGGCTGTGGGTGGGTGGCAGGCAGCGAGGGGGGCCCGGCCGGGCGATGGAGCCGGGCGACGGGGCCGGCATCCCGCCCAGCCCGTGGGCCGCTCTGGGCGCTGGCAGCAGCCCCGCAGCACGGCCAGCCCTGCCCCAGCCGATCCAGCTGCCGGGGCCATATCTCTGTCTCCGTGGCCCTTGGCTCACCTCCGAGCGGGGAATCACGCGGATGTTCAGGGGAGAAGCGGGAATCGGGGGCACGCAGGGATTTGCAGGGTTGTCGCAGATTAAATTCTGCCTTGCTGCAAGAGGGGTGTGCGGGCCAGGGACGGGAGCGGCGCCTCCGAGCCCCCGAGAGCTGCTCCGAGCTCGGTGTAACCGCCGTGTCGGGGTTCGCTTCACCTCTTCCTCTTTAACCACCGAGCTGCGGGGCCAGGAGCTTTGCTGTGGGCGAGCTCGGCTTCCTCTGCCCGAGCTCTGTCTGCACAGCACATCCCGGAGCCTTTGCTCTCCGCCCAGGGATTAAAACTGAGTCCGCGGCTGTGGGAGAAAGGGGACGGAGCAGGTTTGAATGGAAGATGTGGTTTTCCTGCCGGGGATTGCAGCCCTCTCCTCGCCGATGGAGGAGCTGGCCCTCGCTCCAGCGCCTGCAGGATAATGGAGCAATTGTTTCCGGGACGGCATCCCAGGCTAGGAGGAGAATTGCCGGCCCGCAATTCTGCCAGCCCTCGCCTTTCCAGCCTGGGATGGCAGCCCCGAGGGAGAACGTTTGGTTCGGGTGGGTTTTTCCTGCCGTTGGAAAGGGTCGTGGCATGGGCGGCCAGCAGCGCTGCGGGTGGGACCCCGGCGCTGTGTGATGCCGGGGAATGTGTGACCCTGGTGTCACGGCCACCTCCTGCACCGCACGATGCTCTTTTGCAGCCTGGATTTAGAGGAGAGAGTGGTGCGGGAGAGAGCCGAGGAAAATTAAGCAGGGCTGGGCTCTGCTGTGGCGCTGGCAGGAAGAGGAGGAGGAGGAAGAGAGGCGGGGTGGGAGCAGGCAGGGAAAGGCAGGAGAAGGTCCGTGAATTTGGAAGTACAACATCCTGATGGGAGCAGGAATCCTGAGCTCACTCCTGCCACTGCAACAGCCTTAGGAGGAGGAGTGTGGGGTGGGATGGGATGAAGCAGGAATGGGAGCAAAGTCGTCCTAGCCCTGTGCATTTGGGGGTCTCAGGCACCCCATGCCCACAGCATGGCATATCTGTGGCTCAGCACTGTCCCTGGGGATGTGGGTGACATCCTGCTTTGTCCTTCCAGGCTGACACCCAGATGCAGCACCCGGGCAGGGTCTCCTTCAAGTTCATTGACAAGATGCAGTTGGTGAGTGGTTTCTTGCTGGGGACAGCAGGGGACAGGCATTAGGGCTGGCTGGGGCAGGGTGGGAGGTCCCCAGATCCCAAGCCTCCCCTCTCATCTCCCTTTGTAGGAGGGACCCAGCCTGCTAGGCCAGGTGGCTTCCAGGTCCCACTTTGGGAACTCTGTGGGATTGTAGGAAGGCATTTGGGGCCTCTGTGCCTCAGTTTCCCCCAGGCAGAGTGGGACGCCCATCCGGTAACCACTGTCACTTTTTGTCACTGTGTCCTTGCAGAATGACTCCACCTGCTATGTGAAAGCTGCTTTTCCCCTGATGGGCAAGATCCTAGAGAGAACAGAGTTCAAGGAGAATTCGCCCAATGCCAAGAAGATGGAGACGGTGCGCAGGATGTACAAAAGCATCGATGACAACATGGACCCCTGCATCAGGGAGGAGGATGATGAGGAGAGAATGGTACAGTGACCCTAGCCTGGTGGGGCTTTGGGCCTGGGTCCTCATCCTGAGGTGCAATGGGATGTGCAGAGCATTCTGGGGTGAAATGGGGTGTCCAGAGCATGCTGGGTGAAATGGGATATCCAGAATGCTGGGATATCCAGAATGCTGGGGTAAAATAGAATTCCAGAGCATTCTGGGGTGAAGTGGGATGTGCAGAGCATTCTGGGGTGAAATGGGCTGTGCAGAGTGTCCTGGGGTGCAATGGCATGTGCAGAGCATCTTGGGGTGAAATGGGGTGTCCAGAGTGCCCTGTTGAAATGAGGTGTCCAGAGTGTTCTGGGGTGCAATGGGATGTGCAGAAGGTCCTGCAGTGCAATGGGATGTCCAGAGCATGCTGGGGTAAAATGGAATTCCAAAACATCCTGGGGTGAAATGGGGTGTCCAGAGTGCCCTGGGTTGGAATGAGGTGTCCAGAGTGTCCTGGGGTGCAATGGGATGTGCAGAGTGTCCTGGGGTGCAATGGGATGTCCAGAACATCTTGGGGTGAAATGGGATGAACAGAGCATCCTGGGGTGCAATGGGATGTCCAGAGCATCCTGGGGTGCAATGGAACGAGCAGAGCATCTTGGGCTGCAATGGAGTGTCCAGAGCATCTTGGGGTGCAATGGGATGTCCAGAGTGTCCTGGGGTGAAATGGAATGAGCAGAGCATCTTGGGGTGCAATGGGGTGTCCAGAGGATGCTGGGATGCAATGGGATGAGCAGAGCATTCTGAGGTGCAATGGGATGTGCAGAAGGTCCTGCAGTGCAATGGGATGTCCAGAGCATGCTGGGGTAAAAGGGAGTTCCAAAACATCCTGGGGTGAAATGGGGTGTCCAGAACATCCTGGGGTGAAATGGGGTGTCCAGAACATCCTGGGGTGCAATGGGATGTGCAGAGCATCTTGGGGAGCAATGGGATGAGCAGAGTATTCTGGGGTGCAATGGGGCGTGCAGAGTGTCCTGGGGTGCAATGGGATGAGCAGAGTGTCCTGGGGTGGGTGTGTGGCAGGGCTGTGGAGCAGAGCAGAGCTGGGCTGTGCATGGACATGGAGCCACGAGGAACCAGCAAGCCCTGCCTTGGGAGCGCTGTGGTATCTGTGGGGGTGACACTGGGCAGTCATGGAGCTGATGCTGAGCCTGGTGCCTCCTCCAGCTCTCACAGATGTGCTTCAAGGAGTTCACCACGTCCCCCTACGAGATGCTGGTGCTGGTGAAGGATTTCTTCCAGGACATCAAGCGCCTGCTGGAGGAACAGGAGACTTTTGCGAAGGATTGCAGCCGAGTCTATCGCAGGGTGTGCCTGGGACCCAAGAAGGCTGGATCCTCACCAGGTGAGATGCCAAGGCTTGGCCTCTGCCCATTAAACCTATGCCAGTCTGGGGGGCTTGGGCTCACTGCATGGAGCACCTTAAGAGTCGTGTGTCTGTGGGTGTGGCACGTGTCCACCTTGTCCCCTTTCCTGTGTCAGTGAGCTCTGCATCAGTGTCAGGGGAGAAGGGGCTGGCTGCCATTTGAAGGTGGGATTTGGGCTAAATCCTGCTGGAACAAGGCAAGGGAGAGATGTGAGGGGGACCAAGGAGGCATCGGGCTCGATCTCAGAGCATAACAGAGAAATGGAGGGACTGCTGTGCCACCAACACGCTGCATGACCTTGGCTGTGTCACTTCAGCTGCCTCGTGCCTCAGTTTCCCATGGCCAAGCCTTCGGGGCGAGTGTTGCTGCCGGGCTGGAGGAGCCCTGTGTTGCCGTCTGCGCTTCCGCAAGCGCCCGTGCTGTGTTTGCATGGAGGAGATGTCCCAGTGTCACCCCATGTCGGAGCTCTGCCATGTCCTTGTGCCGTGGGGACCTTAAACGTGGCTGTCTGGCTCCTGCAAGTTGCGACTAACGCACTGCCACCAGCTCAGGGGACCCGGTGACTCGGGTTTGCTTCATCCCACCCACTGCTTGTCACCCTCACACTGCTCCTGCCTGTTCCCTGCCTCTCCCATTTTTGAGGGGCTGTTTGACCCGCTTGCCTGGGGCTGCGGGGAGGGACGGGGACAATGCCCCCGACCTCAGATCTGCTGCCTGTGCCCCTCTTGGAGGCTGGTGACCCCAAGGCTGTCTCTTCTCTCTCCTTCTTTCAGGTGTGGGGACAGATCCTGACTGCAATTGCCTGTCCCCTGCCCTCCCTTCTGCCACCCAGCCCTCCCTCTCTGCTGCCGCTGGCAGGGACACGGCACCCGCTAGCACCCGGGTCCCTTCCAGCCTCCTCCATGCCACCCTCGCTGACTTAGAGGCCCCATCTCAGCCCCCCAGTAGCACGGACGGGGGCTCAGGGACCGAGGAGGTCCCGGCTGCCGGGCTAGGTGACACAGCGCTGGCCCCCGGGATGAAGCAGACAGCTCCAGGCAGCAGTGCCGAAGCCCTCCAGGATCCGGCCGGGACCCTGAGCCTGGCGCTGGGTGACATCCCCGTCCTCCGCGGGGATGGAGAGCTGGTGGAGTGGGGCACCGGGCACCTGCCGCAGGATCCAGGCCAGCAGTGGGGAGGCTCCATCCTCCCGGAGCAGCGCGGCGGGCTCAGGACCAGCCCTCCGACAGCATCGCCCGGCGCAGCCCGGATCCGCCCCGCGGCTGCGGTCACACAGCTCCGCTTCTCCAGGATGGCCCCGGAGCTGCGAGCCCCGGGCAGGGACAGGGCCAGGGCGTGGGGCTGGGGGCTCAGCCGGCTGCGGGGCCCCGAGGATGGCGGCGGGGCCGGGCCCAGCTTTGACTCTGCCTTTGTTCTGGGCGCAGAGCAGCGCAGGAAGGAGCCGCCCGCCAGCGAGGGCCGCCAGGAGCCCCTCATCTACATTACGGTGGCCAGTGTGGTGGCCGTCCTGCTGGCCACGGGAGGGCTGCTCTTCTACAAGTATAAATCCAGGGTAAGACCCCACCTCCTCTTCTACAAGTATAAATCCAGGGTAAGATCTTCCCCGGGCACCAAGATTCTCTCCTGCCTCAGTTTCCCCACTTGTCTCCTGGCCAGTGTGGGTTGAGCCCCATTTTCCCCATAGTTTTGGGGTAAGACTCCACCTCGTCTCTGCCCCGGGCACCAAGATTCCCTCTTGCCTCAGTTTCCCCACTTGTCTCTTGGCTAGTGTGGGTTAAGCCCCATTTCTCCCCATAATTTTGTGACTAGAGGACAAATTTTAATTAATTGGTGGTGTTCAGTGTGATGGGAGGATGTTATTTGGCAGATTTGCCACCCTGCTGCTGCAGCCTCCTCCCCTTCCCCAGGGCTCATTTCCCTCCATCCACACAGGTCCTGCAGCGGCCGGTGGAGGATGGAGGCTGCGACCCAGAGGAGCCAGAGAGGAGGTGGGTGTGACCTTCATGGGGGGGCTTTGGGGACCCCCACTCTGGGTGACCTTGCCCTAAACTCCCCCATCTTTCTGTCACAGGGCGCTGCAGGGAGCAAGGGAATGTTCAGAGCTGGAGACTCAGGATCTCTGAGGTGATCAGGGGCTGGGTGAGGACAAAATTGTGTTCCCATCGGTGCTGACCTTTCCATGGGCAGGGAAATTCTGGGCGGGAAGACACGGACAGGAGCAGGTCTGCGCCCCGGCGCTGCCAGCATGTGGTTTCGCAGCTCGTTAATCCATTACTGGCACTTTCTTAATATACATAGTATTTTTTCCTGTGGTTTTCGTGTGTTTCTCCCCACGCTGCCCTCCCTGGCAGAGCCCCAGCTCCTGCTCATCTCTCTGCTCCTTTTCCCAGGGCCCCAGGCAGGATGTGAAGCTGCTCGGGGGACGGATGCGGACGGAAGGAGGGTTGGCACGCGCCGGCCTCGCCGCGATCCCACCGTGACGCTGACACTCCCTCTGCCCTCGCCCCGTGCCCGTGGCCAGAGACTGCAAAAAACTCCCTGGCAGGGACAGAAGGATGGGGGGATGTGCCCTGAGTGGGACCCCTGGGCAGCAGGAAGCGAAGAAGGGCTGGAGCCATGCCTGCAGGCTGGTGTGATGCTGCGGTGCTGAGCGGGACCATGGAGTGCTGGATGTGGGTGATGGAGCTGATCCCACTTGAACACGGCCAGAGCTGGATGAAGATGGAAGGAATTGGCTCCCCAAGTCCTCTGGCTCTTCTCCCATCCCAGCAGAGTGGGTTTGGAGCAGCACCCATCACCCCTCTTCACCCTGCCTTTCCTGAGGCTTCAACTGGAGCATCCTGAATTCTGGGGGGACCCCCAGCCCTGACTTGCAACTCAAACCCTCACACTGTGAATATTTAAAGCCCACCCATCCCTGCACGGGGCTGGGTTTGGGGTGACCCTTGGCACCATCCCAGCCCCTCCCCATCCTCCTGTTGTTAGGGCTTATTTTTTATTTTTTAGTAGAGTGGATGAAAGTCTTTATTCTGCACAAGTGTTCTGGGGGGGCCGTGTGCCCCTCACAGGGTCCTCACCACGAGCTGGCCTCGCTGGGATTCCATTTCTTTGGTGACTGCGCTTTGGAGAAGGGAATGGGGCTGGGAAAGATGGGATCCACGTGGGTGTAAGAGCTGGAACTGTCCCAGCTGGGCACCCTGGGGCTTTGGGAAGAGCCTGGTTTGGGACACACCAGCCCTGGAGATGCCCTAAAATCCAACGGCTCCCTCCAGCCCCGGATGAAGCGTGGCCCCTGCGCTGCTCTGGGAGTTTCAAGCATTATTTTTATATGAAGGATGAAAATATGGACAAACCCAACTGTTTTTAAAGAAAGCATCACTATTAATTAGGGGTTTTTTATATAAATATATATATATATGTGTGTGTATTTATGACTGGCAGAAGGAGGGGGTTCCTGGGCGAGGGACTGGTGTAAATCAGGATAAAAGCCCTGATGCAGCAGGAAGTCTGGGGCCAAACTCCTGGTGGTGTAAGTCACCAGTTTACACTGTGGAGGAGCTGCTCCTGGGGGAGAAAACTTGCCTTTACCCATGTTGGATTTATTTTGCCTTTTTTTTTGTCGTCGTTGTTGTTTGGTTGGGGCTTTTTTGTTGGTTTTGGGATGGGTTTGTTGTTTTTTTTTTTTTTATACAATGAAATCCTGAAATATTTTATACAAAGGCATTTAAAAGTCTATTTAAAGAAAATAATGGAAAACAACTTGTATATTTAATATTATTAATAAACAGAGAGGTGTAGTTTGGTGTAAGTGTGGGATGCAAGGGGGGACTGAGCTGTGTCAGCCCTGGGGTCCCTGAGGGGGTGATTGGGGTTGAGTTCTGGTATTTTTACCCTGACCTGCTTCTCTGTGGATGCATGTGGGAGTTCATGGCCACTGGAATGAGGGCAGAGGGATTTATCTGCCCTTCCTGCCCCAGCTCTGCTGGCATTGCTGAGACCTCCAGGCACCAACTCTGGTGCCGGGGCCCTCCAAAATCTGTGTGAACGGTTGGGAAGCAGCTGTTTAAAGCAAACACACTTGAAGCAAAGTTTCCTGGAGCACTTTGCTTCGAGTGACAGTCCTGGAAGAGGCATTTCCTCCCCCCCTGCTGCTCCCCCTGCTTCCCTTCCTTCTTTCCAGGAGCAGGGGAGCCCCACATCGTCCTGCAGCTCCCCCTGCACACATCCAGCATCTCCAGGGGGATGCTTGGGGCTCCCACACCACCTTTAGTCCCTACCAGCCCATGGGGAGTGCAGGGCGAACACCCCCATTGCTCATCCAAGCGGGTGGCAAGGACAGGAGGGGATTTGGGAGCCTTCTGCGAGTGCCAGGGTTGAGCTGCTGCCCTGTTTGCTGACAAACAGGATTCCTCGAGGGGAGCTGACTCAGCCCAGCCCTTCCTCTCCCCAGCAGCAGCCGGGGGTTTCCCAGGTCCACATCCCCTTCCCAGGGAAGTGGGACCTATATATATCCTGCTGGATCCGTGCCACGGTCATTATGGTCACATTTGGGGGGTGTTTGAGGCCAGAGGCTGCTCTTAGGGGTGGGCACCGTGCCCAGATTTGGGGGTGCTGAGGGCAGCGAGTCCCTGGCCTGCTCCAGGATGCTCCAGGGTGATCCAGGGTGCCCCAGGCACCTCCACAGCTGGACAAGAGAAGGTGGCTGGAGCTGGATGATGGGAGCTTGAGGCTGTGGCAGAGCTGGGGGGCAGAGGTGAGAGCATGCCAGGCTGCCTGGCATATTTTATTTTTTCACTGGTCCCCAACCCTTCTGTACCTACACCCCACAGTCCCTCACCCCTGACTTTTCTGGCTGCTCTGTGTGCTGGAAAATGCAGGAAAAAAGCTGAACTCTGTCTCTCTGCCCTCAGGTGCAGGCCAGGAGGGTCCCTCTGCTCCTCATGCTCCCAGCTGGGGCCTTTTCCCCACCCTGTGAGGGGACAGGATGTGATTCCCTGCCCTGGGCACCTTCCACCCCCAGCCCCTTTGATGTGGGGGGCAAAAACCTGCTCTCGGCCCCCCACTCAGGAACCCCATGGGGCTCCTTCCCTGTCCCTCAGCACTTGTAGGGGAGGGTAGAAAAGAACCCCCCATCCTGGGGCATGGAGGGTGAGGGCACCTGGGGGTCCCTCATGGGGTGGGTTTGGCACTGCAGAAAGGAGCTTTGATGGGATGAGAACAGGGGGTTTGAGGGAAAAGATGGATGGTGGGAGGGGAAAGCATCAGCAAGGACCTGAAGCATGGGCTGGCATGGAGTGGCACAAACTGTGGTCACCGGTGTCCCCACACCCCAGCTGCTTGTGGCATTGGCAGGGCTGGGACACCTCAGGCTCATCCCGTTGTTCCAAAACCTCCCAAGCACTCGGAGACCCCCCCAGCTGTGCTG